CTGAGGCTAAGGCTTCAGAAATGGTATGATTTTTCAATTAAGTCAGTGAATCTGTTTTCTTCAAACTCTTCACTGATGATAGAGATAAGAAGAAACTTGGACCTTCAAAATCAAGAGGGTAAAGGGGAAAAAGCAAGGGTATTGAGTGGAACTCAGGGGATGACAGAATAGGACACTGGACGTGCAGAGGTCACCTTCATAATAGGTCCCCAAATGTATGAAAGTGGTGAAGAATGGGGCATGGAAGACAATGGCAAACTGCTTCATCTCTTTCACAATTTGGTTTAGATTAGAGCCGATTCCAGGGCAGTTATTGGGGTAGATGAGTGAAAAGTTAAGTAAATACAAAGTAGGCAAAGCTGATCTAGTGGAATTTCTCATAGCTAAATGTATGCATCAGTTGCATAATTACCAGAAAGGGGACCGGGAAAGGGGGCAAGGGACTTTGGCCTTTGGGACTTAGTTATTGGGCTTATCCTTTTCCTATGTTCTTTGCTGAGGTTACTTTACAACAAGAAATCAAAGACTGTAGCAAAAGTATGTTGAGAGATGATCTGGCTGCAGCTGAGGAGTAATTTGCAAGGCTCCCCCTCCCCCCACCTATCTACAGAGTGCAGTGGGTGATGGGTCCCTGGCTAGACTGCAGAGCCTGCTGTCCTTTGTCCTTTGCTTTTTGCTCAGACATGGTGGCCAGACTAAAAGACCTTCTGAGACACTGCTCTGCAAAGCTGTCCTTGACATTGCTTGCATGTATTTCTCTTTCCAACAGATTGTATATACTAGGACATTTCCTATAAATCATATAACAAGTCACATAAACACCGTAAGTCTTTGAGGACAGACACTGGGATTTTTATGAGGAGAGACCTCATACTGAGTTGTCAGCCATCTCCACCTGTATGGTCCCATCTGCATCTCATACTAGGTAGGTACAGGTGTGAATTGGCCATCGTCTTCCCACAGCAGCCTTCCACTCTGAGCATCAGAGTCCCTGTTTTCTTCGTGATACCAGTAAGTTCTTCATCATCAATCTCCAAAAATCGAGGTGCTCTTTAAAATCACTTCTTTCCCTGACCAGTTTTTGAGTCACACCGGCTCTTCCTCAATACACCAGTAGACTGCTTCTTTTGTGTCCCATGTTCTGCTGAAGGATGACCCTTCGGAGACAGTTTAGGCTGCAAATATTGCTCAGTTGGCAGAGTACTTGCCTAGCAGTCCATAAGACAAGCATGGTGGTGCACACTTAATAATCTCAGATCTCAGAAGGAGCAGAAGGAGGATCACAAGTTCAAAGCTATCCTGGGCTACATAGCAAGTTTGAGCCATCAGGGCTATAGGAGACTTTGTGGGGCAGGGGGTGGGGCCTTAGTCTCATTCCACTGCCCATTTCTCTGTTTAGATATTATGCAGTGATTTTCAACTATTAATCCATTTATAATCTCTGTATATTTCTAAAATATTATAAATCTCAAATATACTATTTTTTCTTTGATGCTTTTAAGAAATGAAAGAAAAATAGTCCTTCATTTTTACCTGTATTTTTATTCTTTTTACTTCCTCATTCCTTTCTGAAGAACCAAAATTTCAGCTGAGCATGGCAGCATAACCTAGGCCACAACATGCCCAGATACTCCAGTCAGAGACAGAGTGCTAGATTCCAGGGGAACTGCTTTTCTAAGGCTATAAGCCACATTGATTGTTGATTTACATACTTAGTATTTTTTATATATTGAATGTAGTGGTCAAAATATGAATTTTATCAGATTCCACCAGAATGTGTTAAGTTTTGTCCTGGTTAACAGTTAAATCTTGAATCACATTAATTTCCCCTCAATCCTAGGGTAAAATCCTTAATACTTGTATATATTTTTATTATTAAAGCATGGTTCTGGCATTTATCAAAACTTTAAAATTTTATCAAGCACCTCTAACTGTTAAAATTCTATCACAGGTTATAAAGTACAATCTTAGAACACTTAGCATTCTGGGTGTCTAGATTTCTCCTGCTGAGTTGCCTGGAGTCCCACCTCTCATAAGCAGTAGCTCAATACTCAGTTAAGGCTTAAGCAGTTTGTATGTGCCTTTCAAGAGAGCCCTTTCTGGCTCTCTTCTCTCTGGGGTTTCATCCCTCAATTTTAACCATGATAGCATCATCAGCTTCTACATTGAGACTTGTGTAATAAGAATACAGAACAACTTACAGCTCATTGGGGCTGGAGATAGCCCCAGTGGGAAAACTAAAGGTGGAGTTTACATTTTGGGGTTCTTTCTCAAGGATCAAATCTCTTCTTGTTTGGTCTGCTCTTGATTACTCTCTCTCTAATACTTTCAAACAGTTGTTTTCAATTTTCTTTGGGAATGTTAGTCCAATATAAGATGGCCTGTCATTATAGGGACTCAGAATGTCTGTATTGAATATGAATGAGATATAAAATCTTACCTTGACTTTCAGGAACCTCCAGAAATATTCTTTGTGATGGTTAATTTTATGTGTCAACTTGAGTAGGCCATGAGATACCCAGAGAGTTGGTAAAATGTTTCTGGCTGCCGCTGTGTGGATATTTCTGGAAGAGATTAGCAGCTGAATCAGCAGATGGAGTAAATAGCATCATTATCAATAGGACCAGGTAACGTCCTGGACACTGAGGCCAAGTAGAACAGACAGCTGGAGAAAACCATGTTTGTTCTTTCTGCTTCACCTGGGACATCTGTCTTTTATTGCTCCAAGAAGACCGTGTTGTGGATTCCTAGAGTTCAGGACTCAGACAAAGGACTTATTAACATGGCTCCCTGAGTTCTCAGGCCTTTGGATTTGGACCACAACCAGACCACCAGTTCTCCTGAGCCTCCAGCTTGGTGTACATTGTTGGACTTTTCAGACTCCATATGTTTCTTAGCCAATTCCTTACAATAAATCTCTAAGATCATTATAACTATCCCATTGGCTCCATTCCTCTGTGCAACCTCATCTAATTCAGTCTCCAACTTTCTTTTTTAACTTTGTCTCAACTTTGCTCTTTTTCTTTTCAGAAAAAGCCTATGATTTATTTGTTTTTATGTGCACATGTGTGTGTCTTTTTGTCTGTGCTTGTACCATTTGTACACAGGTGTCTGAGAAAGTCAGAGGACAGTGTTGTATCCCCTGCAACTGGAGTTGCAGATGGTCCTGAGTCACCCAATGTGAATTTCAGCAACTGAACTTGGATCTTCTACAAGAGCAGCCAGTGCTCTTAACCACTGAGCAATCTCTCCACTTCCCTCCATTTCTGTCTTATACACTCCCTGTAAGTTTGTCATATCTGGTGTTCCTTCAAACTTTGCAACTGCGCCTTTAATTTTGCTTATTATTTCTTCCAGACTCTGTTATCATACTTTATGAGCTTTATTTTATTTTTATTTTTGCCCATGTGTGTGCATGTATGAAATATGTGTGTGCATGCATGCATGTGCACGTGTGTGGAGGCCAGAGATTGATGTCAGGTGTCGCCCCCAGTCTCTCTCTACTCTATTGAGTTTGATCTCTCACTTGAACCCAAGCTTTGACAATCCAGCTAGCCTATCTGTTAAGCTGTCTCCAGGGATCCTGAGTGGACACTGAAGATCCAAATTATGGTCTCTTGCTTGCATAAGAAATGCTTGTACATGCTGAGTCATCTCCCTAGACCTTATGATCTCATTTTAACATCTCTCTTCCTCTTCTTCTATTATAAACACGAGAGGCAAAGATCAAATTGTTTATTGATAATATAAGTGGCAGGAAGTCACATTAAGGATTTTTTCTTACACAGCAGGAAAAAAGAATTGAATGTAAGCATCACAGGCATATGTTCCTATAAAAGAGAAGAAAATGGGATAAACTGGGCATACTCAGTTTCTGCTCTTGAGCTCACTGTTTAACTGTCCGTGAGAAAAGAAATGCTAGAATAGGCAACAGTGTTATTGTAGGTGATGGTCCTCCAAACAGAGACACAAAGAAAGCACAGACTCTACCCACAGCACACATGCCAATTATTAAGTGGGTCCCAATACCAACCTATTGCTTTTGCACACCTGCTACTATGCTATGCTCTTCTGCATGGAGGCAATCTCTCATTGTCACCTGAATGGGGGAAGTCCTTCTGTGTATATGTTTGTCTTACTGGTTGTTGAATAGAGCACTGTTGGCCAATAGGGAAGCAAGATAGGTAGGACTAGGAGTTGAGGAGGATTCTGGTAAATGTAGTAAAGAGAAGGCTTGTGAGCCAGGGAGGAAGGGACATAGCAGGCAGACTCAGAATATAAGCAGGGACAAGCAGGAAATTGCTCTCTTCCTCCTCCTTTCTTCTCTGGAGTCTCCATGTGATCCCGGGAAGAGGATGTATTCCATCAGCGTCCTCCATGATAAGTCTTTATAAAATATATAGATTAATGCTATATATTTATTATATATATTATATATATAACCATAATTTATCAATTATGGTTGATAATTAAGACTGATCTAGCAGATAAGAAATCCTAGTCTTTGGCCAGCAGCATTGTAAATAATATAAGCCGCTGTGTGTTACTTGGGGCCCTAATGTGGTGGTGGGCAGAACTCAGGCAGTTGGCAGAAAGATTTATCATTACAGTCACCAACGTGTATTTTACTTCATTGAATATCATAACATTTATGACATCATGTAGGCATTTTTTCTAGGATCCCCTTAGCGTCTAAGATTAGTTAATGTTGTTCATACTTAATATTCCTTGACTATAACACAGTGACTGATAGATAAGTGGTCAACCTTCAATGTACATTTTCAAAATGAGAAAATAAAGAAATGAAATGATCCATTGAAAACGTGGGTGGCCTATTCTAAATAAGATCAAGTCAAGAGTGATGTAATAATTTAAAACTAAATGAGCACAGCTGTCAAGGGAATGAAAGAATAGATTTTTGTTTAAAGTAGCTGATTGTTTCTCACCACAGAAGGTGGTAATGACATCATCGGCTCATGACCACTGTCTTCTTTCCACAGAGCGAGAGACTCAGCAGGTGTGCTGGGAGCTGCACACAAGGGACTTCTGACAGCACCATCTTGCAACCTGAGACAAACTGCTCTAGAGGGTTAAACATCTTGACTCACACAGGGGTTAGAACGGTGGAAGTGAGTGGATTAAGAGGGGAAATTGAATTTCTCTAGAAGGTGATATGAGGCTGTTTTGATCATTTGTCAGACTCTGATGTTAGAGTTTGGATGTTGAATGTTAAAGGTTTGATCCCCAGGGTGGTGTGTTCAGAGACTGGAGGAGGGAGATATTTTAGAGACTAGGGCTAATGGAAGGCCTTAGAGCAAGAGGACCATAGGGAAATGCCTTCAAAGAGGATTATGGGGCTCCATATTCTTTTTTCTTTTTTCTTCCCCAAGGGTTGAAATATATATATATACATATATATGTATATATATATATATATATATTCACTGATAAAATTTTATTTATAATAATTTAAGAGTTGTAGAAGTGGGGCTGAAGAGATAGCTCAGCCAGTCAAGTGTTTGAGGACCTGAACCCATCCCCAGGACCAATGTGGAAAAGCCAGGTGTGGTGGCATAGGCGTGTCCCAGTACTGAAAGATGAAGATGGTGACAGGCAGATTCCTGGAGCTTCCCTAGCAAGCCAAAAGAGCCTGCTTCATGAGTTCCAGGAAAGCATCCTGAGGAACAACATCCAAAGTTGTCCTCTGGCCTACACACACACACACACACACACACACACAGGAATAGCATACATACATATGCACACAAACACAGATACATTCATCCACTCTTCTCACATAATGAATGCATACATGTATACATACAAATATATGATGCAACAAAATTATTCATGGAAAGGTTGTGAAGACAGGGTAGAGTTCCCATGTTGCTCATACTCAGTTCCCCATAGTGCTAATATCTTCATTTATAACATGCTAATATCACACATAATGAAGAGACCTAATGAACCTTAAGATGCAGTCTTAATGCATCACAATTGCTGATAGCAATAGTGGGTTTCATAGAATATTTTGCTACTTTTTTTTTGGTTCAAGCGGCTCAGCTCTGGCCTTTGGGATCTCCTCATCTGGTGGTGATACTCAATGTTCTCCTGACAAGCTTCTGTGATGGGCTTTCTTCTGAATTTCCCTCTCAGCTAAAGGACAAGGAAATATGTATGTGTATAATAACTGGCGTATGTAAACACATCTCTAATTATTTATTCCTGTGTATTTATCTGCATTAATATTAAACTAAACATGAGTTCATGCTGATGTCTCAACTCTAATCCAGTAAATCCTAAATGAATCATTCTAGACCTCTTCCCTTGCTGGTCTGTAAACTCCCACTCAAAGGGAAAGAAACCTAGTGCTCACCATCTGCCATCCATTTACTTAATTGCTCGGTTCTAGTGTGCACATATAGTGGTTTCAGAATTGTTAGCCCTGATCTCATGGGAATCATCTTTACCAATGAGAGCACAGAGCTGATGGTCAGTGTTAGCTTCAGGTTTGACTCATTTTTAACATCATTTAGTTTAGTGTTTTCACCCCCACACTCCTTGGGGAAGTAATTTTGAGCATTTCTAATGCAGATGGATTCTTCTGTCCTGGTCTTCAGTCCATCCTTGAACACCCAAAAGTGAGCTTTTATATGTATGCACATTAAATTTCAGTCTGTGCTGAGACATGCTATGGGTGTTGATAGATGGATAGTGCCATGTAACTATTGTCACATGGTCATGCAGAACAGTTCTTCTGCTTTAAAACACCCTACAGCTGCACTCACTCAACCACTGGCCTTCAAGACCATGGTGACCATTTATCTATTTGATGTCTCTGTTTTGTTTTTGTTTTTTTCCCATAATGTCATAAAACTAGTATCATTGAGTATGCAGCTTTTTTTCCAATGGGCTGATTTTACTGAGAAATTTGCATTCTAGAGTCATCCATGTTTTTGCATGGCTTGCGTTCTATATTCCATCTTGTTTGCTTAATATATTCCATTGTTTGGATGGGGCACAGTTTACCGATAGCATCTTGTTTGGGAAGATAAAAATGTAATTGTTATATTTGCTTGCATTTGGTTGTTTGTGCTGGTTTATATTTTCTGATGGACTGAGCAGACACTTAGGCATCCTATGCTAAGACTCTGGCTTTAATAGACCATTGTCTTCCAACACGGCTGTACTACGTTTCATTCCCAGCAGCAATGGGCGAGTGAGCATTCTTCCTGCTTAGCATTCCTGCTGATGTTCTTCATTCTTGAATTTCAGCTATTCCAACAGGAGAGCAGCTGCATCCCACTGTTGTTTTAATCTGCATTTCCCTAATGACAAGCAACATGGAACACCTTTTTATTTATGTTTATTCTGTCCATATCATTCCTGTGGGGTATGTTCAGATTTTTGCTTATTTTCAAATCATTTTCACTGAACAGTTCTTTTATCTATTATGTGATTCATAATAATAATAATAATAATAATGATAATGATAATAATAATAATTCATAATAATAATTCTTTTGCACTCTTTTAACTTCTGAGCTTTTTGCTCTCTTCAGTCTCTCTTGCAGCTTTTGATCTGCACTTTGCTCCACTCAAGGACATGTCATTTACTTCTTTTTGTAGCATTCTTTTTAAGATTTATTCTTTAATCGTGCATACCTATCTGTGGATATGTACACAGGCATGTCAGGTCCTCCTTCTGTGGTTATGTGCACAGGCATGTCAGGTCCTATGAAGCAGGAGTTACAGGCAGTTATGAACTGCCTGATGTGAGTTCTGGGCACCAACTCAAGTCCTCTGAAAGACCAGCAAGCAATCTTAGTTACTGAGCCATCTCTCCAGCCTCCACATCATTCTTCTATGCATTACTGCTTGAGAACTATTAATTATTCTATGCTATGAATGAATTATATGGGTATTATTCTTTGCCAAGCATGGAGATGGTTTCCAAATTTCCCTTCCATCCAAAACCAAAATAGTGATTGTGGTGATACCTTTCTTGCACAAATAAAGCCTGTCTGGGGGTCAGAGAATGAAGCTTGTCACTAGATAACCATAGAGGTCTGGAGGTCTGTAAAGACAGACAGGAAGTGAGGTAGCTAGGCAGAAACAATATAAGCAGGAAGAAACAGGAAATCACTCTCTTCTCTGCTGAGACGCGTAGGAGGTAAGGTGTGCTATGGCTTGCTCCTTCTCTCTGATCTCTCAGCATTTCCCTCTATATCTGAATCTGGCTTTTTATTATCTAGACCAATTAAGAACTCAGTTTACAAGTGATGGATAGTCTCATAAATAAATGCTTTCATACCTATTAACTTAGTATAATTTAAAATCCTATCTTACTTTCTGCTTTTGTGAAGGACCCAGGTTTGCCCCTCATCACTCACATGGTGGCTCAAAGCTGTAAGTCCAGTTCCAGGGGATTAGAAGCCTTCCTTTGGCCTCTATGTGCTCCTGCATGTATGTGATACTTATAAACTCATACAAGTATACACACACACACACACACACACACAAGTAAAATGAACCCTATATCCAAAGGTATCAATCTTTTTAAGATTTTTGCTAGGAATAGTCCTTCCCCTGCCCCTCATCAGCCTGCCATGCTCACAAAGCAGTGTGTTTTCCTTTTTGTCTCAGGGTTAGAGAGAGGCTATGAGTGTACTGGGTTTATCATTTGCTTTGGTCACTAGTATGTTAAATGCTCATAGAGATGAGACATGAGAAATACTCAGCCTCAAGGGACAGCTGCTTTTGCAAGAATGTCATCTTGGCTCTGGGGAGATGGCTCAACTGGTAAAGTCTCACAAGCACGAGGACCCAAGTTCTGTCCCCAGAACCTGTGTGAAGATACTAGACATGGTGGTTTGATGGGGGAGGTCCTTCTGTATATATGTTTGTCTTATTGGTTGTTGAACAAAGTACTGTTGGCCAATAGGGGAACAAGTTGGGTGGGCCTAGGAGTCAAGGAGGATTCTGAGAAATGTAGCACGAGACAGGAACCGCCATGTAAGCCTGGGAAGACAGAACACTTGCTGCTGGCGTCCTCAATAAGATAAGTTTATAAAATATATAGATTAATAGTTATGGGTGATACATAAGACAGAGCTAGCAAGTAAGAACTCTTAGTCATTGGCCAGCAGCATTGTACCTAATATAAGTCTCTGTGTGTAAGGGATTTTAGAAACAAAAAGAACAGAGACAAGCACAACTTCTTGGTAGCAGCATTTTCTTGGGTGGTTTCTGTTTTGCTAGAGACAAGCAGAGACTTGCTAGGTTCCTTTAAGAGAGGCTTCCTGTCTCAGCATAAGTGGCAACAAACACAAGGCTTTTTAGAGGTCTTGCTAACAATTCAATGGTGTGTTTGAGCAGCTGGCAGTGGGAGTGACCACATCTCCAAGCTGGTAGCATGCTGCTTGATTGCAGCATAGACCAAGGCAGTGAGCATAGCTCTCACTGCTGTCAGTAAATGTATGCCTGCTATCTTGGAAAGACAGTGGCTAGAACAGCTGCTGCTTTAATTTTAGCAGTGTTGTTTGACAGATAAAAGACTGCATGGCCAGAAAAAGGTAAATATTTACAATAAAGACAGATTCAGATGAAGGAAAACCTCTAAAGGTTAACAGTGTGTTTAAAAATATACATAGGCTTGTGAGAAAAAAGAAACAGGATAAAGTAATTGAAAGACAGAAAGAAAGAAAGAAAGAAAGAAAGAAAGAAAGAAAGAAAGGCCAGTGGTGGTGGCACACACTGGTAGGATATGCTGAAGGAAGCAGAGGCAGGCAAATTTCCACAGAGAAACCCTGTCTCATAAAAGGCAAAAATAAAAGTAAAAGAAATAGAGTAATGAAAAAGCCACGTAAAGATGGAAAATACACAGAGAGTTTGGATATTATATGTTATATTGTTGTCTTTAAATTGTTTGATTGCCGAGGAAGGAGCAGCAACTACTAACACACGTTTGATTATCAGTGCTGCTAAATTATTCCAACTTATACATTTTAAAAATGCTCTGACTTCACAATTTAAGTCTATGACAGGCTACTTGGGAAAAGAAATTTTGCTTATTTCCACAGAAAATGGAAAGCTATGGATTCCTTCCAGACTAATATGGTTTGATCAAGCAAGACCCCCTGAAGCAGTGGCCCAGCTGATCCTACATTCAAAACAGCTGAGATGATGCAGTCATAGATGACTCCAGCCAGGATTTCTGTGTTTTATCTTGATCCCCATGGTATGGACATCACCCCCAACCAGCAGGAAGCAGTTTGGAATGAACAATGCCCAAATTCCCAAATATTGTTTATAAATGTTTGTTTTCATTTAATGGGGTTGGTTATAAATGGTAATGATCACAGTCAATCTCTTTTTAAAGGAAAAAAGGGAAATAGGGTATAGAAATGAATACTTTGTATTGGTATGGATTTTCATTTATTGATAAAACTTTAAGGTCAATTTTGTGATATGTATATTTCTCCTCTTGTTTAGGTATTGTGTTATACAGATCTTATAAAATTTAATGCATAATTAAATACAGATTATATAGTCACCTATTATAGTCAGAACTTATAATTAGGTTAGTTAGGTTTTCTAGATATACAGAGATGTATTTGAGATGGATAGTCTTCAAACCTTTCAAAGACCTACAGAATATATGTCATTTTTAAATGGTTTAGGGTTTTTCATGACAGTGAGACACAACTGCTCCTGGCACACCAATTATGTCAGAAAAGAGGATGGGCATCGAAGAAACTCAATGTGGAGCTTCCAACATGGCAAGATTAGCCATTTGGGCAAGAAACTGTGCTTGCCTGGACTGTTTGATAAACTGAACATGCAGGGTGCACATGAAAGTGACTGTTGAACTTACAAAACAAGATGGACAGTCCTGAAGGGTTCCTGCTTCATGGAGGAGTCTACCAGACATTCTGCAAGACACAGAGGAAATTGACTGACAAACTGCCAATGCAGGCAGACAGTTTAAAATTTTCGGCTTTACGGAGAAGTGTGCCAGACACACTGTGGCCTATAGGCTGAAGATGGATGCTCCAACATTACAGAGGAACTTCAGGTGATTGTCCAGGCATCGAGATGTCTCTGTCAGATCTAGAGTTTATATATTACCCTTCTGTGGTCTTTGATGGAGTTGAAGACAGATAGTTATGGTTATAGTTTTCTTTAGTTATTATAAAAGATAAGCTACATATAAGACTTTAGACTCACAAAGATAGATGATAGAATATTTTCTTTAAATCTTGTTAAATGTTATGAACTAAATATTGTAACTATAGTTCTTACTTGATAACTGTTTTGTTATATATTTTATTGTGTTAATGTTAAACCCTTCTTTTTATTTAGACAGAAAAGGGGAGATGATGGAGAAGGTCCTTCTGCATATATGTATGTCTTATTGGTTGTTGAATAAAGTACTGTTGGCCAATAAGGGAACAAGTTAGGTGGGACTAGGTGTTTAGGAGGATTCTGGGAAATGTAGTAGAGACAGGAGCTGCCATGTGAGCCCAACAAGAGAGGACACATGCCGCCAGCATCCTCCATCAGATAAGTTTTATAAAAATATAGATTAATAATTATGGTTGATACTTAAGACAGAGATAGCAGATAAGAAATCCTAGTCATTGGCCAGCAGCATTGTACCTAATATAAGTCTCTATGTGTTACTTGGGACTTTCAGATGGTGGAAGGGCTCGGGAAGCTTGGTGGAAAGACTTATCGTTACAGTGATTCATACTTGCAACCCTCAAAATGGGGAGGTGGACACAGGAGGATCATGGGGGTTCACTAATTGGTGAGCTTCAGTACAATGAAAGATTTGTCTCAAAGGAGGAGGACAACTCCCTGAGGGTGACATCCAAGGGGGTCTTCTGGCCTTCACCTGCACACATGTAAATGAGAGGTGTGGTCTTTCCATCTGCTTTATTTCATTTTCTCTTTTTAAAAAGAATTTATTCATTTATTAGTGTGTGTGTGTTGTGTATAATTATGAATACATGAACGCCATAGTGTGCTCATGGAGTCAATTATCTCCTTCCACCATTATATGAGTTCAGGGATTGAACTCAGGTTGTCAGGCTTATGTCAAAAGCATCTTTACATGTGGTACCATCTCAGTGGTCCCTCAGTTTCCATCCCAATGGTCCCCCTGTTTTCTGAGTCTTAACTCAGACCTTGTGCCTTGTAGGAATCTTGTCTACTGGTCTTTCCATTTCAGAGCTGCCTCAGAGTGGATGTATTTAATGAGGTGGTCTGCAAAGTGCATGCTCAGTTACTTAGATGGTCAATCTATTTGGAGGCTTTGGGAGCTCTATTGCATGTCTATGACAACAGATCTTAGAACAACTTAAATCCAAATCTATTCTTTGAGAATATCATTCATATACACAATGAAGTAAGAGCGTGTCCAACCCACCTTTCCCCCTCTAATTCCAAATGGATCTCTCCTAATAGACCTTATATTTGATTTTATTGGGTGTGTGTGTGTGTGTGTGTGTGTGTGTGTGTGTGTGTGTTTGTTTTTGTTTTTGAGACAGCGTCTCACTCTGTAGCTCTGGCTGGCCTGGAATTTACTCTGTAGAATGAATGAACTGGCCTCAAACTCACAGAGATCTACCTGCCTCTGTCTCCTGGAGTACTGGGATTAGAGGCATGTGCTACAATGCTCGGCCTAGAAAATATTTTTCAGTGATTGTGCCTGTCTGAGTTTTGAACACCTCAAACTGAGCTATCTAAAAAAGACAGTGGATGGAGACAGACTGGCCTTAAACTTCGCCAACACTCTCCAGGTGCTGTTACCAATCAGACTTGGGCATCCCCCTCGGGGAACAGAAGCTCCCTTTGCTTTTCTGCCTGACCTTTAAGCATCCAGTGTTGCCTAATACCTTCTGTGCTGGGACAGCATCCACTCCGACCAAGGAGTAGAGAGGGAAGCTGCAGCAGGCAGTGGCATCACTGGCTTAGCCTTTGCCTCATGCTTTTTAGGTTTCATTTTCTGCTGCCAAGACACTGAAGTTAGCCTTTGGCCTATAGTAGTTTTGACAAATGTGGAGGCTGTGAGTCAAAGGAACTGTCTCCTTAGGAATGTGTTGCGACACGTTGA